TGGACCTGACTTATCACTTTTAATTCAGACTACCCGGACTCTACCCCATTCAGCGTAGTCGAACTCGGCATTCACCTTGATGTAGTCGATCATTCCACTTAACTCATCCCACCTCAACCTCGACGGTGCATCAGCTATATTGCTAGGTGATGCTATACGTGTGTACCAGTTGAGACTATTGTTGCCAGCATCTCTCACCATAGCCTCGACTAACATGCGGCGACATGCTGCTGACTTAGTGACCCCAGCTACAAATGCTTCCTTGACTCCTTCGTTGTCGATGAAGTACAAGACACGTGCCCCCTTCACCAGGGGAGCAAACTGGCACTTCACTATCACAATCGGCAGCATCTCCGCCTGGGCGATGACATGCTCATGACCATATCCATGCCAGTCAGCTACTATCTCATCTTGTATTCTGAAACCGAATGCAAGAGCCTTCTCAAGCCTAGGCGAGAACAAGACAGCTCCACAAGTGGCCACACCGTCCTCATAGGCCCCATCAGTGAACACTAGACATGGTTCCTCACCATTCACAGCTTCCAACCTCCTAGGTGGGGCCTGTCTCAACAACTCCGCTGACGTTTGCAAAGCCTCCCTGATCTCGCTTGTGACCCCTCTCACTGTCTTGGCCATGAGCGCCCTTTGTTTCACTGGCCCCAACAGGGGGGCTAGCCACCGCCCACTGCACTGTGCCTCGGCGAAGTTCAACCTCCCGTATACCTTGGCTGCGGTTGCCGGTGGGAATGCACACAAAGACTCTACCTCCGCGATCGTTGCCTCCAACTCATCAACACGATCATCCTTGTTGCGAACAACCACTACTCCGTCCTGGGACTGGTTCAGGTCAACCACGACTCCGAGCACGATGAATCTCCTAGCAGGCGGCGTCCTCTTCTTCACTTCCTCGGCTATTCCCCACCCAAGCACACGGAAGGCCTCCTCCATGACCACCTGGGACTTAACAACCACGCTCTCCAGGTCAACATGTGGGAAATCGTCGAAGTAGTTGACGACCGGCAGGAACAAGAACCTTTGGAGCACTGCGCGCAACGCCCGAGCAGCCCTGTTGAAGGCCATCACGGACCCCGTCGCACCAAAAGGGAGGACATAAGACACAAAGTACTTCACTCTGTTCACTTCTGGATCAAGCACGGCAATCACTGCGCAGCTTCTATCGGCTGGAGACAGGGCTAGCTGCTTGTAGGCCGATTTGAGGTCAAGACACCTACCACTGAGACGCAACCCTTCACCCCTAAACTCCTCACACTTCTTCCCCTCCAGCACCAACCC